GTACATATTAAATTATATATTTAGTTGTTTAACCTATGATGTCTTCATTGTTTAACGTATTATTTGATTGAGTATCTCTTTTGAAAGCTTTACTTGTTCAACTGTTTGTTCTGTTTCGGATTTACAAATAAATGTAATTAAATTGAAATATTCAAAAATAATAAATAAACTAAAGGCTAATAAATAAATACCTACAATAAAATAAAAAAAATTAATTTAATTAATTAATTAATAGATAAAATGAAAAAAATTTAATTAATTAATTAATTGAATTAAATAAAAAATAATAAGTAAAACAAATAAATAAAACTAAATAAAAAAAATATATATATAAATATATAGAATAAAACATAAAAAATAAATACATAAATGAAGGAGTAAATACATAAATAAATACATGCATATATATTTGTGTGTTCAATGTTTTGGTAAAACTAATGAAAAAAGGCAGATTTTATTGCAAGTATAGACATAATTAAAATGATTAATAATAACTAAAAATAATTGAATCAAAAATTCAGTTTTAAGCCTAAATTTCTGGTTTCGGCCCATGAACCATCACTAATATTATGTTTTATTCATATATAGAGCTATGCAGTAATGCCTTTTTTTTTAAATACTTAAAAAAAACCTGTGGGTTACTGAATCACAGTAGTTTATTGAAGTGACAAATACTTTCAACATCCAAATAAACTTCCCTAAAAAAAATTTAAAAATACATATACGAGATATACACAGACCCAAACTGAACAAACTGATGCATTTACTGTAAACTCATATTACAGTTATGGATTTCTTTTATACTGTTTGTGCAGTAAAAAAAAATAATCAAAGAAAGAGATGTGTATTACTCATTGATGATTAGTTGCCAGATCTAAAAAAAAAAAAAAACAGAGAACAAATCCATTAAACGTAAACCCAAAGTCATTATTGCTGTAAATGAACCAAAATTATTGCAACCTGCCTACTTTATTAACTCCATAAACTAAATAATTTAAGCCCAAAGAATTTTAATAAATGTCTCGCATAGTAAGTGGACATGGCAACACTTTAAAACTGAACTCAGCAAAGCACATAAACAAAACAAGATGCCTCGAAGAAGAAAATAACAATAAGTGGTCCCTAGACGCAACACTTTTTTTGTATAAGGTTTATGTGTTGAGGTTTCATGCTTCAACAAACGCCTAATCCAAGTATGAGCACTAGTAATAACAGTAAAGCTTGCCTTGGCGAGCTGCTCTAATAACAATCACCAGCACAAATTATAAACACAAGGTATAATGCGTTTCAAAGTCAAAGTCCAGAATTGAACATTTAACAACTTCCAGGGTGTCCTTCAAAGCAATTTCCCCCAGAACAGACTAGGACCTAAATGTGGTTTGATCAGAGATGGTCAATGGTCGCTGTTGTGTAGAGCCAGAATGACCTCATAATACACGTGTTATATAAGTGATGAAATAAATGTGTTACATAATCATGTTACAAACAATTCTATAATGTCATTCATCAGATGGTGGAGATGGAGGGATAGTTCATAAAAAAATATTTGGAAACACTTTTGGTTACTATTTTATAGTATTAAACCATTAACGAACACTATACTGAGCTTAATAAACTACTAACTAGCTGTTTATTAATACAAGGTACATGCAAGAATCCTACAGGTAATTTTAATACCTTAAGACTTTAAGACCTTCTCAGAATTTTTTAAGATCGCATTGCCACTTCAAGTTCTAATCAATAACAAACCTTTAACTTAATAAACAGTTGTTAATAAACAGTTGTAGCTAAATAAACGCATGTAAAAATTTTAGGAGTTAAAAAAAAGACGACATTAATACTGTACCTGTAGCTCCCGATGATGTATTGAAGTCTTATGGATAAAAAAAACTATGCCGTATTGACCTTATTCTAAAATGCGGAAGTGCGCCAGTTTTCGCGAATGTTTTGGAACTTTCGATTCAGTCGCCTATGGGAGAAAGTACTAGGAATAATAAACGGCAGAAAACGGTCAAACTACTTGCTCTACAAACAAATGTTTGCATGACTATATAGAACAAGTAGAATAATATACTAAGGAAACATCAGTTTGCAACATCAAACAGCGAAACGAGCATATTTTAATGTCTAAAAACGAATGGAAGTGAATGAGACCAAAAATCTCAAGCCAAAAAGATTCAAATGGCTGCACTCGCTCGTCGCTGAAGAATAAGGTGAAATGATCCACAATAATTACAAAGGTTTTGTATTTTTGTCCACTGCTATTGTTGTTTTTTTTTGTTTTGTTTTTTTTTGTATTTTTAATTGTTAACAAAAAGTACAGGTTGACAAAACTATATAATGAAATATATATTAAATCAAATACATTCACTCCACTTCCCCTGCGGTCTCTTGAAACAGGGTATCCAATGAATAGAAGTTAACATAAAAACAAAAACAGAATACAATATCAACTATCGATTATACAAAGTAAGGCAATCATTCTGGATCCTGATCATTGCTTTGTGCAATTAACAAGGAGATTTTGTAGGGATGTAACGGTATCAGAATTTCATGGTACGATAATACCTCGGTATGAATGGCACGGTACGGTATTTATTGAATCATTTACAGGAAAAACAAAACTAATGAAAAGACTCGAAAAAAGTGCCAAAAGTGTTTATTTACCTTAGCACTGAACATATCAATGACATACAAATTAGCCATCTATCTGGAAGTTTCGAAACAGGAACTTCAATTATTCAATTTTAATAAAAAAAACTATTAAACCATATATAAAAAAAATAAAGTTTCAATCTAGTATTGTTGAAAACTCATCAAATTCAACATTTAATTCAACATTTAATCACTCACTCACTTAGATAGAGATGGGTTTTTTAAGAAAAATTATCAAATAACTATAATCTGGTAAAAGCTGGGATCTCTGGGCATGTCCCCTGCAACAGAAAAACCCCCTCTCATTTGGGACTGAGGTTTCTGGGACAGAGAGATATGATTTAGCCAAGGTTGACAGCAGTGGGTAACGTTGTGCATCGTCTTTCCACCACTTGAGAGGACAAGCCATGAGTGAGATAGAGGTCTCTTTGCAGTACAAGTCAATGTCTGCATCAATCTAACAAGTGTGCTGTGTTCTGCAGTCCCCATGACTGTTTTTAGTCGTATTCCCAACTTTCACCAGTCTGGCAGTGCCTGCATACTGTTTTTTTCTTTGTCTGTCACCTTTTCTCCTTTTTCGTATCTTTTTAGAAAGAAACCGAAATACTTCCACACATCCGATTTAAAACCCGCTTTAGGTTCGATCATTTCCAGCTCTTTTTCTTCCCTGCTATTAGCAACACACTCCATTTCCGCATTACTGGATCTGTAGTGACAACAGACCGCAAAGGATGATGGCCACGCCTGGGCTGATGGGAATTGTAGTTCCTGCTACCTCCCGTTCGCTTCATTCGCCTAAGCAAATTTTCTCAGAAATATAGTTTTATTGAGTCATGCGTCTACGGTAATATTGAAAAAAATAACTATTGCGGTATGACGGTATTTACAATATTCTTACATCCCTAAGATTTTGTCAGCAGCTGAAGTCCAGATCTTTAATGAACACATTTGTACCAACTTCACTCGAGCTGTGGATAATTCCAACATTATAATGTCCTGAAGCTGTACCAAGCCACTTGTACATGTCCAAATTATGCGGAGACAGCCAATGTTGGCCTAGTAGTTTTTTTTAGCAGAAGTTAAGCCAGCCACCCAAACAGCTTTTTATAGCTTGGTGAGGTTCAACGTAGAATCATTGCTCAGTAATAGAATGGAAAGATTCACTGGTACTATTGTTGCTTTTTAATAATATTATTGGCTCAATTAATTCTGCATCTGATTTTTACAAATGGCAACTTAGTTTGGGTTCATTTTAATAGCAAAGAAAGTCAAGGTGCTTCAAGACTGGCCAGCACAGTCATCAGACATGAACCTTATTGAGAATATCTAGGGTAAGATGGAGGAGGAGGCATTAAAGATGAATCCAAAGAATCTTGCCATTCCAGATGACTTTATTAATGAGTTATTTGAGTCATTGCAGAGATGTGGATGCAGTCCTCCAAGCTCGTGGGAGTAATACAGAATATTAACTCTTTTTCCACTGCACCATGCCTTTATATTCGATATTGTACACTATTTCTGTTAAGTGACAAGACTGTCTTAATTAAATAATGAAAAAAATCAAGCCATGATCATGTTTTGTTTTGGTAAAATAAGTGTAATCTAGAGGCCTTTGCCTTTCTTATGGGCCACTTCTGATACCAAATGATCAACTAGAAGTCAAGATATTATTTGTTGTTTCTAAAACGTGGACAGACGACAATATTTTTGTCAGGTATTGAACGGGGTAATTTTCAATTTTGGGTAAATTACTCTATATCTCAACTACCATCTCCTTTAGTCCAATTAAAGAAAGCATTTTAAACATCATGAGGTAAATCACACCATAATTTAGCTGAAACACTGCATCATATTACTGAACTAAGCAGCTGAGATTCATCTGTAGGCTCCTGGCTAACAGTTTTTGGAGTGGATGTGGAGAGCAAAAGCATTATCAATGACATTAATCCAGAGTCCAACTGGCCACAGACAGCTGGCAGCGCGGAGGAGAGTAATGAAAGAAAATCTGCACTCAACAGGATAAAAGCACCTCAGCCAATTAAATGGATTACATACGCTACAGTCCAAATCTGTGGCTCGAAGGGACGTATGCTGGAGCCTGTGATAACCGTCCCACTCCAGCTCGTGAAGCCATCGCTAATGGAGTTCCTCTTTCCAAGTGCTCTGGGTGAGGACGAGCCCTCATACACCGAGACGGAGCTAATCTGAATGTGAAACTAATCTGATGTCTCACTAAGGTGTTTTGCAATGCAAATGTTGGAGTGGACAGGGTGTGCTCTGTGTGCTGATAGAATAGACTGTACGTGACGAAACATAGAAAACGCCAGTTAAATGCGCCGACTCACCTCCGATCCTGGCATTGTAGGCCACTCCGACACCACAGATGTCATTATCGGCCACAGCAGCAACCTCTCCAGCACAACGCGTCCCGTGCCTTCAAAATTAAGAGAAAAGAGACTGAAATACATATCGTTTTTCTGCAAATATCTGTATAATTTTTAAATTACACAATTGTAATTTGGCTGCATTATATTTATGTTATTAAAATAAATCAAGCAAATATTTATACAACAAATTATAATTTTTTTTCTGTACTTTAATATTATAAAGCTATATAAATAGAGATAAATGCTGCATATATACAAAAAAATTATTGCTGTTCAATAAAACTTAATTGTTTAATGTTCATTCCACTTAAATTTTTAATTCCTTAATTCCTTCATGTTTTTCCAACACAAATCGATTGTGTAGAACCCAGAATTTTTAACAGTGTAGATTAAATAAAAAATATATTATAGCATACATAATATATTAATGTGCTTAATAAAACGGATTGCTGTAAAAAAATAAAATAAATAAAAAAATAAAATAAAATAAATATATATATATATATATATTCATTATTCAAAACTTTTTAGAAAGATTCATGTACCTGCCATTAATGGCAAGTTGTCTGTTAGAAAAATTATATAGGTATGATATATGACATGACATTCAGGGGCGGATATATTGATTTGAGGGCTCTAAACCAGAGACCAAAAGTTGGCCGATGGTAACCTTTGCTTTGGCCCTTCATGCCATTTGAGAGTAGAGTGAATGATGGGAATCTTTTCGAGACTGTCAATTCAAATTTAATGTTTTAGTTTTTGTTTGTTTTATTGTTAAAAGCTAACTGAAAGTAAATGTTTCAATTAAATGGTGTCAATGAATCTGATTTTGATACTGTTACCCGACTTGACTTTGGTGGGCAAATCAAGTTGAAGGCAGATTCCGCTTGACTAGTGTATTCAGCATCGAAATCCACTGGGCTATAAATGTGATTGTTTATGTTTTTATTGCAATAAGTTATCATTTAATAAAAGTTACATTGCATTAGTTAATGCATTGGTTACAGTATATATATATATATATATATATATATATATATATATATATATATATATATATATATATATATATATATATATATATATATATATATATATATATATTTTTTTTTTTTTTTTAATATAATGTATATATATTTGCTTTTTGGCTCATCATACGAAAAAGTTTGGGCACCCCAGCTCTTAATTTTAACCAAGGAGCTCAACAGTCCTAAAATGCACTCTGTGTACTTTTATTTCTTTATCTATTTATGTAGTTTCCCTAAAATTAATTAACAACTAAAAATAACAATCTTTTATTAATTTATTTTTTTTAACAATCTTGAACTGATTTGATTGTTGGACTGGGGTGAGGGACAAATTTGCGTAAATGTAATAACCAACATTTAAATTTTATTTGACAGACCCTCACCATACAAAATATGATAGAAAATGATGCTATATACAATTTATAGGTATAATACTTCTAAGCATTTATTGGGGGCACACAGATTTCCTGGCACCTCAAGCTGCCGCTTACATCGCTTATTATTTAAATCTGCCCATGATTATATTATATTATATTATATTATATTATATTATATTATATTATATTATATTATATTATATTATATTATATTATATTATAAAAACAGTAAAATAATTAATACAACACTATATACAAAATACAATACAATAATATAATATAAAACATAACAATAATAATATAATACACAATACAATACAATATATAAAAAGAGTAGGGCTGCACAATATATCATTTTAGCATTAATATCGCAATGAGTAATTCTGCAATAGTCACATCACATGACGTGAAACTAATTTGTGTAATTTCAGTTTAAAGTGAAATTGTGTGTTTTTAAGGCTTATGACTGTGTAAACATCAAGCGGGAAATTTAAAAGATTAATTCTTTCCAAATAAAACCATTCAATTTATGTTGAGAAGTATTGTAATATAAATCGCAGGAATTCAAAATATGACTATGTAAGTTTTTCCAATATCGAGCAGCTATTAAAGAAAAAAAAAAAGGTACATCGAAATTACTGAGATACAAATTAGTGAAAGTGATGCATCCTATGATCAAGCAGATATGGAGAAATATGACTCTTTCTAAACCTTAATCAGACACTTTCAGCCCTGCTAAAGATTTTGGCACCAAAAAAACAAACAAACATCCCTCTGGCGTCCTGCAGGGCTCATTCAGAGCTCTTCTGCATGTGTGAAGAGTTGTGCTGTATCTGTTCAACACGACAGCAGGTGACACTCTGATAACCGCAGCCTCATAACATTACAGCCTGTGACAATGTGCAAATGATACTCGCTGCATGCATTTCATCTCAGTTAATGAGGACTAAAAGGCAGGGAAGCAGCTACAGAACCTCCGTGTTTAGAACAGAGATGTGTCACCAATGCCATCTGTGTGTTAGTTTTTTTTTTAAGGGCTTAAATACATTAAAAGCCATGCATATTTCCACAACTACAGTACATAAATAGGTTTTAAAGTCATGGTCACTCTTGGTAAATATGAACAACAAAGGGTGAAAATAAATCTGCTTTATCCTTTTCCATTATGCTTTATTATCATTTCATTTTAATTTCATTGAAATTAAATAATTAATAAAGAGGAAAGTCATGTTACGAGATAAATGTTTTTCTTTGACACATGGTGATCAAGATTTTGCTCAATGTATCTCTGAAGCATATTTCCATTAATATATCTAGATCTTTTAATACTGCAGGTTACTTACAAATCACAAAAGAGTGTGATCATGGGTCTCTGTTTTACATGGGTACTGTAAAATTATGAAGCACATCAGACAACTAATCTGTCATTTATCCATCACACAATGAGTAATAACAAACAATATAGTCCTGATTTTAAGTAAAAGAGTGCTGGTTTCACAAAAAAAACTAAAGTAGAAAGAAAAATAGAAAGAAAATAATCAAGCATTGAAAATCCGCATTTCCACCATTAGGCCAGTAATTAAAAAGTTCCAATCAAAATGTTGATGTTGTGAATTTGCCTGAAAGACGATGCGTGTCTGTGAGAAAGATTGTTTGAAACACTCTCCAAGAAAAAAAACTTCAGAAATAAAAACAATCTTAGGGTTTGAAAGCTTCAAAAAAAGAGAGAAAAAAAAAACAGCTCTGTTAGGTTTGATGTTTGGCACAGTTTCAGATAAAAATTCTCAGCACACTTTCATATTCAAGTTTCAGACAGAACTGGACAATTCTACAGCTGAATGAAATAAAAAGTGTTTCGAGAGTAAAGACACAACATGGGATTGTTTCACACAGGGATAAAATGGATAATATTTAACTGTTTCCACAATTAAATATACTGCATGAGATATAGGACCCAGCACAATGACGTGTTTGATGTGATTTGTTGTTATTTTCAGACCAGAGCAAACTCTAATGTTCACGTTTTGCACCATGTTGTTTAAATGGCAAACTCATTTGCGCCGCTTTGTGGACTCAATGGTGTTCCATCGTTGGCGTGTTGCTATTTTGAAGATCTAAAATAGACTGCGCAATAGACCCGCTGAAAGCAGGTCTAAAGTCCAGCGCAGAGCATGTTAGTTGCACACCTTAAACAGAAAGTAGAAAGACACATTGCTTAATACACACAGGATGTACAGCAATACACAAACATCCACATGAAAAATAAGTAATCATTTTTTATTTATAATAAGAAATTATTATTTTCTACATAAATAAAAAAACCTCCACGCCTTTATCTAAGGGGCGCTTTTTTCAGTTTATTCATGACAATTTGCATTTGAATAATGTTGATAGCAGTATTATTTATTATATGCTTAGTTATATTTGTTTAAAAAAAAAACAAGTTTAGATTTGTCCACCTGTTGGGTTTTAGGACGCGTGTTTGGATATAATACTTTGTTAATATTGTTCATTTATTCATTGGCTGGAAATTAGAACTGAATTCAAGAATAGTTTTGAAACAAATCGTTGCTCTTAAACTAAATTGAATATGCAGGCTGAAGGATGTCTTCAGTGGTGTGCTTACAACACAGTATCCTTATCCACGAAAGGAAAAGGAGGGAATGTGAGATGTGACTCTGATTGGTTTATTACACATCAAGCTCAAAACACACTCATAACTCATTAAGTGAATAAGCACAGCACTTTTAGACTATGCGAGTCCTTAAAACAGCAAAAGTGGATTCGAACACACCTTTAACGCTTTTGCGCCATGCGTTTTAGACTTTGCACCTAGATCATTAAAATAGAGCCCATAATGTTGCAGGCCTATTATTTTATTTTATTTTTTAAATGTGGCAAGGAATTTTTGCTATAATGTAAATGACAATAGCTATGTTTCAATCCACTGATTTTTTATACTCACTTTGAAATATTGGGGGGAAAAAGCTTAAAAGGAATACCAGGATACCAAAAATATGGCAAACATTTTTTTGCTAAGTTTACTGACTAAAACAAACTTTTTATCCAATAAAAAGTGCATAAAACTACTATAGAAACTCACAGAATAAATTTCAGTAAAAAAAGTAATGAGATTTTGTTTTAACATCATCATGTGATAACAGAGCAGATTGCAAAATATCTGAAATTTTGTTTTGGTCAGTCTAAAATGTTTTAGCCAAAGTCCACTCACTAATTTACTCACTAATTAGCATCTCTGGATGGAAAAATATAAGATCATAATGCAAAACAAACAAAATCTTCCCAAAAATGGGTAATTGAGCACAAAACGTAAGGTTCTCCTATAGGCCAACCCAGAGCCCTGAATTGAACCTTATTGAAAATGGCTGGGTGAACATGAACCAACATAAAACCATAGAACCTGAAGTATCTGGAGAGATTCTGTATGGAAAAAGGCTCTGTAACGTCTTTGCTGGATTTCTTCAACCTCACTAGGCGTAAGAGAACATTAGAGCTATTATCTGGGCAAACTAATGTTGCAAAAATGACTGAATGAGAGCCAATAATTTAAGCAAAAAAAAAAAAACAACAAAAAACATTCATTTCATAATTAATTCACAGCTTTTGCTCAAATTCACTAAA